TTTTAATTTTCCCAATCTTCTTGAGTTGTTTTTCCCTTTAAGAAAATCTGTCCTCCCTTGTCATGATTCAATACTTCTGGTTTGCAACATGGGTGTCGTTAGAAAACTGGGTTCAGTTTATGGAAGTTAAGATGCACTTTGGTCTGTAGTTGGAAGTTTTTAAGAGGGCAGTTAGCTCTTTCCAGTCATTAAAAAAAACCAGATGAGTAAGAAGCTGTGTCTAAATTTATTTGCTACTTTAAAAGCAACATCTGACATTCCCTGAGACTACATAGATTAAAGAAAAGATTTATGTTAATGCCAAGGATTAAAAGAATTTTAATAGCATAGATAAAGATGTAAATGTGCTATGTTCCATTTTTTTTTCTGCAGACAAATATGCCATAAGGGAGCTGGAACAGAATATATTCACATCCTACAAACTGTAACATCTGGCTTAATTTTGCACTTTTGTGTTCATTACATAGCTGTTTTCTTCCATTGATCCATCCTTCAAATCACACTTGAATTGGAAATGTTTATTCTCCACTTTTGAAATTCCCTGAAGGGAGCCGGAACCACCTACAAAAATAGCATTTACTGCAAATTCCTGATTATCTGTTTATTGAGGAGTCGGGCCTCACTTAGAATTCTCTCTACCCCATTTTCCAACTTTCATTACTATGTAATGCAAACAGGCCTCAAGATCATACTGAAAAAAATCAGGTGTTTTATTAGGAACCTGCCATTAGATATAGAAATATACTAAATGCAGACATTATTGAAAAAAAATATAGTCATGGAGACAAAGTGCATATGTATAAGATGTAAATGTATATTCTGGTTTATCACTTTCCTGCTGTGTCTGAGAAATCATTCTGCAATGGAGCTTTTAAAAAAATGTTTAGCATGTATCGCCAACAGGCATCCACAGCTGAAAGTTCTTTTCCATCAATGTTTCAATCTAAGAAGATGTTAAAGTGACAATTATATATTTGTAAAGGCAAAGGTTCCCCTCGCACATATGTGCTAGTCGTTCCTGACTCTAGGGGGAGGTGCTGATCTCCGTTTCAAAGCTAAAGANTTTCTCACACCCTTGGCCCCGTGAAGTTGTCCGCCCTCAACCCCCCAAAATCCCCCGGCATGCTTTCGTTGGTTGGGGAATTCTGGGAGTTGAAGTCCGGACATCTTCAAGTTGCCAAGGTTGAGAAACACTGCTCTAGCAGGATGCCCAGGTGGTGGGGGAAAGGGAGCACCTGTTCCTGGCAGGCCTGGCTACTGTTTGTCTGTGTGTGTGTGTGTGTGTGTGTTGTATTTGTTGCTGCCCCAACAAAATCAGGCAGGGTCAGGTGAACCACTCCCTGCTGCCACCGTGTGCCCACCCATGAAACAGCTTTCCCATTTCTCAGCCTGTAGGCAGCAGCCTGGGGTCTTGCGAGTCCCATGGCAGCCCCAGAAGGATCGAGGCATCTAGCAGGCGCACACCTGCCTGCTTTGGTGGTTCGCACCGCAGCTTATCCCAGATGGAAGGTCCCGAGGCTGCCCTTCTGGAGGGTCCGTGGGAGCTCTTTTGAGCCGTGCTGTTGGCTGTCAATCACAAGCGCGGCTCCGGTCCTCCGAGCAAGTAGCCGGGCTGCTATCGCTGCCGCTTAGAAGGCATCCGGTTTCATCGAGCTTCGCGTTTCCCTCAGACCAAAGCGTGGACGGATAAAACAGGCCGGCCGATGGAAGGATCCCCCACAAAGGATCGAGCCATTTCAGATCATGGGAGGCAAAAAACACGACGGGCCATTTTTGGGGGGCTTGGATTAAGCCATGCCTCAGCGAAGCCAATACGGCAGGTGAACTATTTCTTTCACTTGCCTTATTTAATTTTATTTTGTTTTATTTAATGGAAAAGAAATACCGTTTGAGGCGGAGAAAAGGTTCAGAACCGCTTCCTCCTTCGAACCCGAAGTGGTACGGTCCGGAGTGCGTACCATGTCGAGGGTTCTGCGTTATTTTGCAAACAGCGCGCGCTCCAGTCCCGGCCCGAGGCTTTCTTATCGATTCTCGCCGTGTCGCCTCGCCATTTATGGCAAACCCGGGAGGCGAGGGGACGCTGCTGAAATAAAACTCCAAGGAACCCTCCCCCCGGCCCGCCCGCTTGCTTGTTGGCTTTCCCTAGGGTGGATTCTCGTCCTGACACTGTCAAATGAATGACAGCCCCACCCCCCTCGCCGCCCTAGCCCGTTCGCTCCTCCCTCGCACTCCTCATTCGCCAAGCGCCCCCTCCCTTTCGCTAGAAACCCCCCGCGTAGAGTTGGATGAAGCTTCTCGAATAGGAGGGGGCTACCGCGGCGGAGTGACTGATTGGAGGAGCGGTCCGAGGGGTGGTGGTGGCTGGAGCTGAGCCCAGAGCCCCTTCGCCTTGCATCAGCCTTATCGAGTGGGAGGGCGCCGCCGCCGCCGCTTCTGGCCGCCTTCCTCGCGTTCCAGGGCGTGCGTGAGCGGACGCGTCGTGCATAAAAGGCGCTCGGTGGTGCTAGGGCACGCGGCGGCTGGAAAGAGCGGACCTTTCCCTCCGGTCCCGAGAGGGTCTCGGCAAGAGGCGTTTACAAGGCTTCTCCAACAGCCTGGCCAGCGCCTTTTTCCCGAACCGCAGTTTAGTCTGCGCGCCTTTTCTGAATTAGATTGGATAGCGGTTTCCGCCAGCCCAAGCGACCGGCATGGAGAAGCCAGCCGACAGCCGGAATGGCTTTCTGGAGCCGACGGTGCTAACCGGTTTCGAGGCTGGAGAGGAAGGAGTGAAGCAGCCTCGGCTGAAGCTCTTCCAGTTGCGGAGCTTCGGGCGGTTCCTGAGGAAAAACTGCCTCGTGATCTTGACCGTAACCGGCGTGCTGGTTGGGGTGGCCATGGGCGCCCTGATGAGGCAAATGCCGCTCACCCGGGCTCAAATCACCTACTTGGCTTTTCCGGGAGAGATGCTGCTCCGTATGCTAAAGATGATCATCCTGCCCTTGGTGATATGCAGTCTGGTCTCCGGTGCAGCCAGCCTGGACACGCGGTCCCTGGGCAAGCTGGGAGGCATCGCCATCGCCTACTTCTTGGTTACAACCTTGATCGCCTCGGCGCTCGCCGTTGCCTTGGCTTTCATCATCAAACCCGGGGTGGGCGCCGGGGAGCTCAATAGCAAAAACTTGGGCTTGGATGGCGCCATGCCCACCAGTAAGGAGACCGTGGACTCTTTCCTGGACCTAGCAAGGTAAGGAATTCAGGGGGGGGGGGCTTCCTTCCTAAGCTTCCTGGTCAAGGGGCGAACTTGGAGGAATCATGGCTCAGCATGGGATGATTTCTGCCTTGCAAGTACTCTCTCTCTGTCTCTCTTTTTTGGGAAATGGCTGGTACTCTCTCTCTGTCTCTATTTTTTTGGAAATGCAACTTTCATAGTCTTAATATTGAGATTATGTATGTAGGACTGATGGGAGTTGTGGTCCAAAACGTCTGAAGGATACTAAGATATTTGGCTTTTGAAAAATCCCAGTTATTTACTTTCTTACCTCCAGGTCCGTCTGATGCTTTTCTTTCTTTCTTTCTTTCTTTCTTTCTTTCTTTCTTTCTTTCTNGTAAAAGCTAAATTGATGCTAGATATGGGTCAAAACAAAATTCATTGGGGTCTGGACATGACTCCCTTGAGAGTGTGCAATAACTCCAAACTGATGACACACTTAACCCTGCCTTCTAGTTCTGCCTTTTTATCTCCTACACCTTTAGCCCCAAGGTCTTAGTCTGAGACATTATCAAGACTGTCAGTTTTTATTTCTTTTAACTGTCCTTCAACAGCATCAAACTCTTCCTAACTCTCGCTGCTCAGCACCCAACCTTCCCACTACAAAGAAATTGTGCTTATCAAATACAAATTTGTAATTTCAATATGTCTCCTCATACATTATGGCATTTTCCCTAGGAGTGAAAAGTAACCTTTGCTTTTTTTCCCCATTCCTATTCCTCTAATTTTTCATTTTCTATCATTTTTCCCTTCCCCTACCAGAGTTGAAACTCTGGGGTTGTCAACAGGGCCCACAGCACTGATTAATTTTATACATCCATGCCTTTTGGCTGCATATAAATACGGTCAGCATTTTTTTTTTGCCAGCCAAGTAATTAAAACAAACCTCATTTCTCATTGATTGTGAGTTCAGTTGCTGCAAAAGGATTTCCCTGAAGCTAAGAGTTAGGGAAACTGCAAGCAATTATGCAGAGACAATTATTCTTACCCACAAACTAGACCAAAGTCCTCATCAAAGGCCATCTTAGGAATGGAAATTAATAATTACGATTAATTTGTGATTCATAAAATTTATCCTGATTTCCTCCCCACTTCAATGCCTTCCGTTCCCTTGTGTTATTGCTAGCTGAAACTAAAATAATAATCATTAACATCATCAAAAGTACAATCTCTGATGCGTTCTCCACCTTTCTGCTTTCTCACTCCAGTGTTTAAAATATGCAAGGAGCTTTATTATCTGAGAAAGGAATACAATTATGTCTTCCAACTTTGGAGGAAGGACACTTGTTACGCATTTGCCGTGGGGAAATTTCATCGCGTTATGAATTTGTATTCTGCTAAGTGCCCCTCTTAATAACTTCCCCTGGTGAGTCTCTTCCATGCGACAGTGTTAAAGAAAAGATTATCTAAAGCTTAAGGACTTTTCCTTTCTCCCAGGATGTGAGACAGTGACTTCGATCCCAGACCAAATAAAATTTAAAAAATAAAAAAATAAAGCCAGCGCTCCAAATGCTATGTCTGATAATAGTAATAAGAAAAATAATCAAACGTACAGGGAGACTAAGGTGACCAGATTTTCAGATTGGAA